GGGGGGGGAGGGTGAAAGTTACTTCGCGTGGAAACTTCTACGTTTCTGAACAGGAAAAGGTGTAGATTAGTACTTCATATCATACATGTATAGCAGAAATAATACGTTTATTTTAAAAGTATGATTGTGAATAACTTTTTAACGAAGGACGAGCGACGGCTAAAACCTGTTGGAAGTTACTCAGGGTCATGACCTTGACAACATATGTCAAGGTCAAAGTCATTGGAGGGGGGTCCCCTAATCGAAACATTTACCCTATCACGAGTTAAATTAACTAACAATCTAATAATTAGATGCTCATAGCATTTTGGATTAATAATGTCGAATGACATATTAAAATCTATGAATGACAAATTAAAAATCTGTAAATAATTAATTTATATTGCGAAAAATATTACCTCGACCGGAAGTCGAACCCGAATCTCTGGCATTTCGCGCGAAATTTTTAAGAACCTATTAGATCGATCGGAAAGTTCCGTCCATCTAGCGGCGAATATCTATAGCTGGAACTGTCGATAACTCTAATGTTTAAATCAAACTTAATTTTTTAGTTTTACCATCTGTTAATAAAATTCAGTATATGAAAGTATACGTTTGCATCAATAACATTGTTTCTTACTACATCGAAAATGTCGAAATTTGAGCAAAATAAATGTTATTTGCGCTAAGTGTTAATCTTTTGCTTCAAATGGAAGAAAACTGCAGCTGAAGCTCATCGAATGCTTGTAGAAGTTTATGAAAGTACTCCTTCCAATAAAACATGCAGAAAATGGTTTCGACGCTTTCAAAGTGGTAATTTTGACGTAGAGGACAAAGAGCGTTCTGGACGACCAAAAGCATTTGAAGAAGAAGAATTGCAGGCATTGGTGGATGAAGATCCATGTTAAACGCAAAAACAACTTGCAGAAGTATTAAATTGTGCTTAATCTGTTATTTCCGATCGTTTAAAAGTCTTAGGAAAGGTCTACGAGGAAGAAAAATGGGTCTCATATTAATTGAAGCCAAGAGACATTGAAAAGCAAAAAACTACCTGCGAAATTTTATTTGCTAGGCAACAAAAAAAGGGGGTTTAGCATCGAATTGTGGCTGGTGATGAAAAATGGATCTATTTCGATAATTCCAAACGCGGAAAAACCATTTGCAATCCAGGTAACCATCGACATCGACGCCAAAACGCAATATTCATGGGAAGAAGGCCATGCTCTGTACTTGCGGGACCAGAAGGATGTAGTATATACTATGAGCTGTTGAAATCTGGTTAAACAGTCACAGGCGATCTCTATCGAAAATATCCAAATAATCCGTTTGAGCCGAGTATTGCGCGAAAAACGGTCAAACATTGTATGAGACAAGACAGCATAAAGTGATTTTGCTTCATGACAACGCTCGACCTCACGTCACTAAGGCTGTTAAGGAAACATTGGATGCACTTCGCTGAGAAGTGATACTCCATGCGGCTTATTAAGAACGTGCTCTTTTCGACTACCACTTGTTTCGATCGATGGCACACGCACTTGCTGAGAAACGCTTCAATTCTTATGAAGACGTCAGAAAATGGGTCACTGACTGGATAGCTTCCAAGGAGGAGTCATTCTTTCGCTGCGAAATTCACTTGCTGCCTGAAAGATAAGAAAACGTCATTGCTAATGCGGTGGACATTTTTTGATTGATGTACTTTTTCATTTTGTTTCTTAAATAAAGTCATACTTTTCGAAAAAAAACGGACAAAACTCTCCGATGGATTTAATATATATATATATAATATATAAATTCACACGAAATTAGATATTAGAAGCATCTAAAGCTTCGATCTACAATTGTGTGAACGTAGTTGTAAGTGGTTGTAATGGTAAGAATTGACTAATCATAGTTGAATACTAGAAGAATATTCGACTGTGAAGATTCAACTTGACCGTTACGTTATATTCTCACCGGTACTTATTAGTTTAAACTCTCACGGTCCAATAAAATTTGATATTAAGCTCAAGATCATTTAAGGATGAGTACATTAAAATATCTCCATACAGATTTTCTTATGTTAGGTGCACAAAAAAGTTCTAAGCTTTTTATTTCATGCAACCAAAAATTACAATTTAAATTTGATTTATTTTCCCGCCATTTTGCAGTTTGAAAGCGTTGATATTTGATCTCTGAAAATATTATACGATTTGGCGTTTAATAGGTACATATAATCTTAAAAATCAGTAGTGCTCACGATAACAATAACAAAAGAACATATTCAATTTTTCATCCACTTCGCGTTTCATTTGAAAAAATACTGTTGAAGTCACTGAAATGATTTGTGCTGCATATGGAGAGAAAGCTGTAAGTCATGCTACGTATAAAAGATGGTATCAAAAATTTCGCCAAGCAGATTTTATATAATAGTCTTAAAGATGAACTACGTCCTGAACGCCCTCAAAAAATTGAAACGGGCGAACTGCAAGCATTGTTAGATATAAACTCTGCGTAAACTTGTAAAAGGAGCTTGCAGAACAACTTGGCGTTAACGCGGTCAGCCATTTCCATTTACATGCAATAGGAAAAGTTTAAAAGGAAGGAAGGGAGATGGGTTCCGTATAAACTGTCCTAAGGCAATAAAAATCGACGGCGTGACACTGCACTCAGTTTGCTTTCAAAGTGTCGGAAAAAAAAGATTTTCTGCACAAAATCATTACAGGCGAAATAGTGGATTTTTTATGATAATCCGAAGCGTAAAAAAATATAGGTTAACTCTGGTCAATCTTCGATATCGACATCAAAGCCCAATATCCACACCAAGAAAATTTTGCTCTGCTTTTGGTTTTGAAAGGTGTGTTGTATTACGAGTTGTTATAGCCGGATGAAACAATCACGGCAGACTGCTATCAAGAACAATTAACCAATTTGAGCGAATGCATTAAAAGAAAAGAGACTTTATGTTAAAATTACAGATATATTGATTTAGTATACGATTTTCCTACCGTGTACTGCCAATATCACGTAGTAAATGGAGAAATCGAGGAGTTAATATTTTATATAATTTAACTACATGTACGAACGGAAGGTTTTTTGGATGCTTGAAGATGACTCGATCCAAGAGTCGAAACTAGTTGCGAAATTTCAATTTTTTAAGTAATTTATATAATAAGCGGCTAAGTATATTGTTTTAGTTTTAAGCATTCGATGTATCTTTTAAAAATTTTTATTACATATCTAATGTTGTAACCGCTTAATTATTTTCATTTTATGATTTGACTCTTATAGTCCTTCATCTATACTTAATTAAAAGAAAAGAGGCCATTTAGTGGCCTAAGGACCAATTTCACTAACGTCGGTTAAGACTAACCAACGATTAATTCCAATGAAATTATCCAATCGCATTTGTCTTTGACCAGAATGAACCGATCACGGTTAACACTTTAACCGTCGGTTAGCTTAATCAACGTTGGTGAAATTGGCCTTAAGACGTCGTAAAATGATCCTGCTTCACGACAATGCCCGACCACATGTTACGAAAGTGACTCAAAACCATATCTTTGCGTTAGACTTGGAACTTATCCCACACGCGGCGTATAGCTCAAAGAAGGCGCTTTTCAATTAACATCTATTCTGATCGCTGTAGCATCATTTGGCTGATACACATTTCATGACATTTACAGAAATACAAAAATGTATTGAGGACTTTATTACCTCGAAGTCGGTAAGCTTTTATCAACAAGGAATCTGCAAACTGCCCAAAAGATGGTAAAGGATCGTTGATGCAAACGGGAAATATTTCGCTGATTAATATCTTTTTGTTTATTCCTAAATAAAAATAGAATTTTACAAAAAAAAAAAATAGCTCAGAACTTTTTGCGCACCTAATAGCTTTCAATTCGAATAATTCTATATTTAAAACGGCAAATTGATGTCTAAAAAGAAATATGGATAATTGTGCAGAATAATAGATCACCCTCCTTATTACATATTTGTATACATATTATATACGTATATATATGCATATATATATATATATATATATATATATATAGTGTCATTAGATGATTGAATCATCTATCAAGAATAGGTAGAGTAGACCGAACGGAGTCGAAAAGTCTTATACCATTTTGCAGCTTTCGTAATATTTGACGAGATATATGTATATTAGACCTTAAAAATAGCCGAATTAACGCGTTCGTCCGGCCTACTACTGCCAATCGTGTACGTCCCTCAATCGCTCCCTACGCGCGCAGGTCGCGAGGATGAATAGCTAAAAAGGAACTCTTGACTGAATTTTGAGACGATTTTTCCTTTGCAGAAAATTTTATTCGACGCTTATGTTTCGAATTATTAACAGATAATTCTAGCGAATTACGAGCCGCATATAGAAGGTAAGCAGGTGCAGTGCACTCACCGTTCAACGCGAGCGAACACGAGGGGCACTTGTTGCGATCAAGAACATAGAGTTATTTTTTAATTTAATTTAATTTGGTTTCAAGTCTCTCTCTCTCTCTCTCTCTCTCTCTCTCTCTCTCTCTCTCTCTCTCTCTCTCTCCCACTTTCTCGCGCTCTCTCTCCCCCTCTCCCTCTCCCCCCCTCTCCTCTCTCTCTCTCTCTCACTTATCTTGCAAAGAATAGTCGTCTTTATACTGTTTTAACTTGACGAATAACTTTAGTTTTGTTGCATCACCCGGATCTTAGACGGACGCGTCTTTGTCGAGTGTTTGTCTCCGTCATATTTTTGAAAAATGTAACCGACTTTGACTGTGCCTTGCGATTACGCTAAATCCGCCTAGCGGTCCCGCGATTTCGGATGTCCCGTTCGTTCGTCCTAACGCACGTATCAGCGGCATGACGACGTGGACGCAGGTGCCCGGTGTTCGGACGATTCTCGCCATTTTCGCGGGTTATTGCATCATTCGTTAAGACTTTACGTTACTCACCGCCTTGTGCGGCATTTTCGTTACTGGCCGTTTTGACCTAGTTCTAGTCGTGAACATTCATTGAAGAAGAAGAAGAAGAAGAAGAAGAAAGAGACGAATAACTTCCACAATCGGAAGAACTGGAGAGTCAATACGAAGACACTTCACGTTCCCTTATGAGAAACTAACGTCAATTAATAAACAGGAAATCGTTTTTCTTTTATATCTAAAGTACTATCTATGTAATAGTATCCGAAAAAAACATCTTAAAAATGAAAAGTTCAAGCCATGTTCAAAAAAGGATACTCAAAAATTTAAATCCTTTTATCTAATAATAATATATTACTGTAGGGATGGTTGTAAATCACGATCGATAACCGTTGACGAACATTGCTTTGTTCTTAATCAACTAACTTTGTTAAAATTACAAGGTTAAAGAATCGCGTACAGTCGGGGACTAAAAGGTTGCAACGCTTTTTTATACATGGTTTTCGGAACGCAGCAAAATTGTCAGAATGTGAGCCACTGCTTTCGTAGCGGTTAGGGTAGCTGTCAACGTAATGACAGAATCAAAACATAGTGAAGAAGTGCATTCTGTGTGCCGCGAAGGTTAAAAATTTCAAATGGATACCATAAAATTAAGATAAGTATAAAAGAATAAGTTAGTATATCAATAATAAATTAGATGGTGCATAATAATATGTTAGATGGTGCATTTCGTAATATAAATTAAAATTAAAATTGAATTAAATAAATTAATGAATTGAAGGTTTAAAGGACTCTATTATTTTTAATAATAATTCACACGTTAAATAAGGCGAATAAGAGTCAAATTACAATATGAAATCTAATTTTGATAATTTATTCTAATATTATATATTGCGAAGAATATCACGTAATTTTTGGCGTTTCGTCCCGGCTTCCACTACTGGACTCATCAGTAAGGCAATGTAGTGGAAGCCTACCTTAGACGCCTGTTTAAGTTATTAGATCGAGAATCTATATATACAGATATACGCGTATCCAAGCACTTGCGAGAATCTTTGCGAATATCTATAGACCTCTGATGGCGAGTCGACGTAGTAATATTCTTCGCAATATATTTATTCAAAGTAATATATGTGTTAACCTCCCACCCCCCTCCTCCCAAATTGCGCGCCGAAAGGATTTCGGACTTGCAACGCAACTCTAATCATCTGAAATATCCCCCCCCCCCCCC